AAATTATTTTGCAGACTTTGCTTTTTTCCGTTGACAATAGTAATAGGATATGTTTTATTAAAATCACATTCTGGCCCTAGCAGTTGACAGACCTTTGTTGGGGCTAGGAAACTTTACCAAAGGAAAGTAAAAATCATCTACCTTGCTCATACTGCCTCTCCTATCCCAAGAGTTTCATTATAGAAACAAAAGAGCAATGAGAGAGGAAGTAGCCTCTTGCCCAGGGATTTTCTTGGTGCTTCTTCCTGGAAAGGCACATAGCAGACACTTGCTGGACTGGAGAGGTGGGACAAGAACCCTGCTGCCCTCCATTTTGCCTCCTTGTCTCAACCACCTAGTCCAAGTAGGAGAAAAGGAATTACTTCCAGAAGGACCAAAGTGGGTAGGTGATAGAGTATCCAGGCTTCAGAAGGATTATAAGGGAAATGTAGGGGGGAGGGGTGATTTGCATTCAGCTAGTCCTGCTACCTTCTGGGGCTTCAGAGTCTTTTCCTCATGTGGTTGAAAGAAACCAGGAAACAAAATCCAAAAATGAAGTGAAAACCCTAACTTAAAAAGTGTTTCCAAGGCCAAGATTGCTATAGCTTCACACTTCTGGGTTTGGGGAATGAGACTGACCCTGAGATTTGGGTTTGAGCACATTTACTATAAATATAAAGCATTCCCCTGGAGCTTGGCAAATTTTGCAGAAGGTATACCAAAATGTAATTGAAATGTGGCTGCCTCTTAAATTAATTGTATAGTTAACAAATGCTAAAGAAAAAAAAAAAGAGGAATAAGTGGATTCAAAGTTCAGGATGTTAATATTTAAAATCTGTCCAATTTAATTAGCTGAGTCCCAGAGACTTTCCTTTTTCTGTGGTCGAAGTCACTAATCTAACACCCAGTTCTCTACTTGGTTGTGAAATAGGAATTAAATGTATCATTTACTTATTTGTATTAACCTGGAACTTATTTCCTCAGCATACATTGTTATTTCGGGAAATAGGATGTATCCATGCAGAATTTACTCAGTAGCTCCTCTTTGTGACATTTGTGTGATCTAATTCAAGGACTTGAAGTGACGGCTCCACATGATTTAATTGCATGTGATGCAGCTATTTTTAGTGCTGCATTTACATTTTTTAAAACAAGAGTACACCTTCTTGATGGAACAGATATGCATTTTTAACTCACAGACTCAAGAACTATAGAACAAGGAAGTTTCTTAGAAATTAAGTCCAAACATATTTTTTATACTAAAGAAAAAGAAACTTGGCTTCCATAGATTTAGTAGCCCTTAACTAAAGGTCAGTAATAGAACAAAGCAAGAAACTAGATGTTCAAGGCTCTGATTTTTCCCAGATTTAAAAAATACAGATATGGTTTACATTGACAAATTGTAAAGACATGCAGCTTTTTAAGGCAATGATAGATCATTTAGCCACTTAGCTACTAAAACCTCTACTTTCTGCATTAACATATTACAGTATATTTTAGTCCCCATGACTACCTACATATACTTTTCCTTCCCTCCTAGCATACTTATTTTTAATCTCTTATATATATTTTGTAAGTGGTTTTAAATACTTCTTTGAATGAGATAGTGTCTAAATAAATAAAGTACTCAAAGTAGCACTTTTGTATTAATGCTAATTGCTTATGTTTCCATAGTGTCTATAGTTAGGCAGGGATTCTAGCTATTACACATTAATTATTCCTACAGGATTTCATCTTTTTCATCTGTCATTGGTAGCAGCAGAAACTAACTTCCTAAGTGGAATACATAAAGAATTACTATTCCTCTAGTTCTTCAGAAAGTAATGACATTATAATCCTTGTAGTAAAACTTGGAATTGTTTTTGTTAAGCCTGATAAATGACTTGGGAGGGTATTTAGTTTCTTAAAATGAAAGACCTGGCTGTTAGAATCAAAATATTACTTGTATCTGGGTATTTTCAAGAGCATTGTGATTTATGGTCGGTTGATTTTTGGCAAGGGTGCCAAGGCCATTCAGTAGGAAAAGAATAGCCCTTTCAACAGATGGTGCCAGAACAACTGGATAGACTAATGCAAAAGAATGAATCTGGAGCCCTACCATATAGCACACAATTAACTCAATATGGATCAAAGACCTAAAGGTAAATGCTAAAATTATAAAATTATTATCATTATTATTTTTAGACAGAGTCTCTCTCTGTTGCCCGAGCTAGAGTGCCGTGGCGTCAGCCTAGCTGACAGCAACCTCAAACACCTGGGCTCAAGCGATCTTTCTGCCTCAGCCTCCTGAGTAGCTGAGACTACAGGCATGCACCATCATGCCCGGCTAATTTTTCTATATATATTTTTAGTTGGCCAATTAATTTTTTTTATTTATAGTAAAGACGAGGTCTCACTCTTGCTCAGGCTGGTTTCAAACTCCTGGCCTTGAGAGATCCACCTGCTCAGCCTCCCAGAGTGCTAGGATTACAGGCGTGAGCCACCGTGTCCTGCCTTAAAATTATAAAATTCTTAAAAGGAAACAGGTGAAAATCTGCATGGCCTTCGATTAGGCAATAGTTTCTTAGATACAGCACCAAAAGTGCAAGCAACAAAAGAAAAAAATAGGTAAATTGGACTTCATCAAATTTTAAAACGTGTCAAAGGATACTATCAAGAAGGTAAAAAGACATCTACAGAATCAGAAAATATTTGTAAACCATGTGATTGATAAAAGCCTAGTTTCTAGAAAATATAAAAAACTCTTACAACGTAACAGTAAAAAGACAACCCAATTTAAAAAGTGGGCAAATTATTTGAATAGACATTTCTCCAAAGATATACAAATGCCCAAAAAGCACATGGCGAAGGATGCTTGACATCATTAGTTATTAGGGAAATGCAAATCAAAACCATGATAGAGTACTACTTCACAGCCACTAAGATGGCTTAATTTTTTTTTTTTTAGCATATTATGGGAGTACAAGTGTTAAGGTTATATATATTGCCCATGCCCCCCTCCCCCCTCGAGTAAGAGCTTCAAGTGTGTCCATCCCCCAAATTAGGATGGCTTAATTTTTAAAATGGACTATGAGAAGTGTTGGCAAGGATGCAGAGAAATTGGGACCCCTGTACATTGGTAGTGGAAATGTAAAATGGCATAGGTTCTATGGAAACAGTTTGGCAGTTTCTCAAAAAAATTAAACATATACAGAATTACCATCTGACTCAGCAGTTCCACTTCTAGTCATATATATGAGAGAACTGAAAACATATGGTCACACAAAAATGTGTACACAAATGTTCACAGTAGCTTTATTCATAATAGCCAAAAATTGGAAACAACTCCAATGTCTATCAGCTGAGGAATGGATAAATAAAATATTGTATATCCATAATAGAATATTATTCAGCCATAAAAAGGAAGTAAGTATGTAAGTATGGTTACATGCTACAACAGGGATAAACCTCAGAAATATTACGCTATATGAAAGTAGCCAGACATAAAAACCATATATTGTATGAATCCATTTATATGAAAGGTCAAAAACAGGCAAATCTATAGAGACATAAAACAGATTAATGGTTGCCAGGAGATGGAGGGAGAGGAGAATTGGGACTAACTTTTAATAGGTATGGAGTTTTTTGGGGAATGATAAAAATGTTCTGGAATTAGGTAATAGTGATGGTTGCATGACATAATGAATATTCTAAAAAGTACTGAAGTATATACTTTAAAATAGTGAATTTTATTTTATATGAATTATATCTCAATTGGAAATGCTAAAAATTTTTAAAAAAAATTGTGTGCCCAAAGATAAAATGAAAGATGTTATGACAGATTAGAGACTGAAATTATGAATGATTTCCAAAACAGTAAAATAACTTGGTACTCCTAGAACCAATAGAGAACTTTGTTTTAGCTTTTAGAGGATTAAGAGAAAGGTCCTGGGTTATGGTTTTTACACCTGGACATGAAGAATCAGCGTCATTAGTTAACCATCTGCTCAGAGTGAAGGAATGTGGTTAGAAATATTGTGCAAACTGAGATGAGAAAACCAGATTACCTCTACACTGAGCAAATGACCTGTACTCAGAAACAGCAGGAAAGTTGGAAAACTAATAGGTAGTTGGGGGAGGACTGAAGCAATGTGATTTTTCTTTTTTAATGTACAATCCACCAGCAGCTCTCCTTAGATTTTGTGCTAAAATAAGAGCATTTTCACACATTTTAATTGCTCTATGATAACAACAGTGTGAACTCCATCCACAAACACTTATTATCTATTTAATTTCGCTCCAATTTCACTGTAGCAAGAATTCACCTTGTAAATGGGAGTAAGCATCCATTTAGTAAAAAGAAATCCCTCCCACATTGCCAGTCCTGTTGTATATTTCATAATAAAACATTAATAATAAAATGGTCTTTTATATTTCTCCATTTTTAAGTTAACATTTATAGATGTCTATGAAGTAGTATCTTTTTGAACTGGAACCCATTTGCTCCCTTGTACATTAGTAAATAATATTTAAAAATTGTAGAAGTCAAAGTTTCATAATATTTCTAGTCAGGATTTTAGATGAGACTTTTATGCCTTTATAATAAACTTTTTTTTTTGGGGGGGGGGTGACAGTGTCTTGTCTCACTCTGTCACCCTGACTAGAGTGCAGTGGTGTCCTCATAGCTTACTGCAACCTCAAACTCCCAGACTCCAGTGATCCTCCTGCCTCAGCCTCCCAAAAGTAGCTGAGACTACAGGTGCATGCCACCAAGCTAACTTTTCTATTTTTTGTGTAGACGGGGTTTTACTCTTGTTCAAGCTGGTCTCAAACTCCTGAACTCAAGTGATCCTCCCACCTCGGCCTCCCAGAGTGCTAGTGTTATAGGTGTGAACCATTGTGTCTGGCCCTATGATAAACTTTTATAGTACTTGGTGCTATAATGTTTATAATAAACTTTACAGAAATGTCTTTAAGATGCATTTTTAAAATGAGATTTATATAACTTAATAACTATCTAAATTGTTCTGATTATTTTCCAGACCTGTCTTTTACTCCATCCTTTTTAGTAATGCTACAGGACGAAGAGGAATGGATAAAAACATTGGTGAGCAACTCAATAAAGCATATGAAGCCTTCCGACAGGCATGCATGGATAGAGATTCTGCAGTAAAAGAACTACAGCAAAAGGTGTGTGGTTCTGGTTTTGAAAGGAATTCTTTATCCTCGTAAATAGAATTTGAGGGCCTGACTGAAAAATGTTACATTGTTAGAAACTGCCTTGAAGAACTGTAATTACTGAAATACAGCGGTATGTTAATAGATGAAGTTTGAGATTTTTATTTGACATCTTTTTAATTAATTTATAATAGTCTTACATTCTTTATGATAGTTAAAAATAGACTATTTCAGTGAAATCTTTTGTGACTTACTACACGTTCCAGCTTTTTAAATTATCCCTGTACACACAGCATTTCTTTTAGTACTTTTAGTTTCTGAAGAAAATAAATTGGAGGAAAGGTATATCCAAGCAGAAATTACTTAACTTAGTAGTTCCTAAACACGTTTCTGTTATTGGTCCATGATGAGGTTTTTGCTGATCTGCAGCAAAATGAGAAAAATAAGGATAATGTAATGAACTTCTCATAATGCTAAATTTATTCCATTTAAAATTCTACCTTCTGATACTGTGTTCCATGTTTTCATAAAATCAAAGAGCAGAATTTTATTAACATACACTTTTGAGAAATGATGAGTATAAGGTTATTTGCATCCTTATTTAATATCATTACCTAGTACTGTTTCAGAGGTCCCCAATTCCACCCACACGTTCTAGGATTCTCCAGAAGGACTCATAGGACTCAGCATACAATCTACTTATAGCTGAGATTTATTACAGCTACATGATAAAGATACATAGCCGGATTATTAATGCAAAAAAACATCAGGAAGAGTCTAAAGGAATCCATATTCAGTCTTCCTATGTATGAATAGATTTTCTCTAGCTTCAAAAATTCAGTCACGTGTGTGCAGTACATAGGGAACTCCATCTGAAATTTAGAATTCAGAGTGTTAAGTTGAGGGATGGTCATGTAGGTACTCTCATAATGCCAGACTCTCAGAAGGAAATCTCATTGTATGATCTAAGTAGGCTGGCACAGCAGTCACAACTGTATCACTTTTTTTTTCCAGTTCAGGTTTATGGCATAACTTGGTTTTCAAGACCTAAGTTCCTAATGCCAGCCAAGGGCCAACCTTGCAAGTAGATATGTCTGAAGATAACAAACTAAGGTCTACTATGTTAAATTATTCCTGTGCAGACAATTGAAAGTAGAGAATATTATGCTGGTTCCCCAATTTAAAAAAAAAATCTTTTTACTAGCCTGTAGAATTCTGAAGTCTAAGAAATATGCTAGCCATGAAGTTTCTCCATAAATAAAGGAATTATGCAATTTCATTCTTTCTTTCTAGTTGATAAATCTATTAAAAAATCTATAAAACTAGCTCATACATATCTCCCTACAACAGAATATATCAGAATCCTCAGAAACTATCATTATTCTTTGTGAGTCTCCTCTTAGTTTAGCAAAAGAATACTCCATTATATAAGCAAACTTATGGACTATAAGTCTTCATTAGAGGTGGATAGAAGGAAGAAGAGGATAGAATATGACAGGACTTTCTAAAATTATTGAAATGAAGTTTAGATTTAGATTTTATTTTTTTTCCTGCAGTTCAGGTTTATGATGTAATCACTTTAGTGAAAAAACTGAACTGCCAGCTTTTATTCTTATTTTGTGATTAGGTTCATTAAGAAACTTTGAGAACTCTATATTTGTTCTAGGAAAGTTAGGAACATAGAATTAGGGAAGAGAGGAATATTGAGATATTTTTAGGATAAGGCAGAAACAGGTATTCCTCTTAACTCCTACTCTTGTTGCACTGGCCATTGGATGGTTGTAAATATGGATCTGGCATCCTAGAAAGAGTTCTAAATAGGAGATTATAGATAGGGGAATAATGAATTTTTTTGTAGCCTTATATGTGGATAACATTTCCTAGTTAGAGTATATAGGTTGAAGGAATATTTGAAAGACAGAAGTGGGGGAGGGTAGAGAAAGGGAAGAAAGCCAAGTAGTTGGCCCCTGGAGATTCAGAACTTAAATTAACAAACACATTGACTGCCACATTAGAAAGAAAAAATTTTTCCCTGGGGCCATGGTGTCTTATTAAAACAAAACGATCCTTTCTAATTTGTTATTTTTTATTTTCTGTGTGTGAGTTATATGTAACAGCAATTCAAGTTTTTAGAATTACATTGTCAATATTAATTGTAACAATAAGAACATCAACAAGTATGATTTTCAGGAACCAACTTTAGGGTTTTGCTTCGCACAAAAAGAAATGAGAAGGGAATCAAAATATGTCACTACAAAAAATCAACCAAATATAAAGCAAGGCAGTAATAGAGGAAATAAGGGACAAAATCATTAAAACTACAGAAAACAAATAGCCTAGTGGCAAAAATAAGTATTTCCCTATGTGTAATTACCTTAAATGTAAATGGATTACACTACCTATTCAAAAGATATAGATTGGCAAAATCAATTTTAAAAATACAAGATCCAACTGTATTCTTCCTACAGGAGACTTTAGATCTAAGAATATGCATAGATTGAAAGTGAAAGTTTGAGGAAAGATGCCATGCAAATAGTAACCAAAAGAGAGCAAGGGTAAATAAACTAATATCAGACAAAACAAACTTTAAGTCAAAAATTGTTGCAAGAAACAAGAAAGGGATATTATAGAATGATAAAATGGCCAATTCATCAACAAAATAGAAAAATTATGTATGGACCATACATCAGAGCTCAAAGTATATGTAGCAAACACTGACAGTATTAAAGGTAGAATATGATAATAGTAGGAGAATTTAGTATCACACTTTCAACACTTTAAATACTGTATAGAACAGCCTGACAAAAGATCAATAAGAAAATAGAGGACTTAAACATAGATCAATTGGACCTAACATACATAAGTAAAATACTCCAGCCAACAACAGTAGAATATACATTTTTCTCAAGGGCAAATGTAACATTTTCCAGGATAGACCATATATTAGACCATGAAAAATAACAATAAATTTTAAAAGATTGAAATCATGCAAAGTGTCTCTTGTAGTCACAATGGAATGAAACTAGAAATCACAAAAAGGTAATTAGAGTGTCCAGATTAAATAATACCCTTTTGAACAACTAATAAATCAGAAAGAAATCACAAGGGAAATTAGAAAATATCTTGAGACAAATGAATATGTAAACACAACATACAAAAACTTCCAGGATGTAGCAAAAGCAGCCAACAAAGAAATGTATGGCTGTAATAATGCATACATTAAAAAAGAAGAAAGGTTTCACATCAGCAATCTAAATTTATGCCTGAAGGAAGTAGTGAAAGAAGAACAAATTAAACCCAAAACTATTAATAGCAGAAGGAAGAAAATAATAAAGATTGGAGCAAATATAAATAAAATATTACTAAAGAATAGAAAAACAATAGAGAAGATAAAACTGTTGGTTCCTTGAAAATATCAAGAAAATTGACAGACCTTTAGCAAGATTGACTAAGGAAAAAAAGGGATGACTGAAATAACTAAAATCAGAAATGGAAGTAGAAGCATTACTACCAATTATACAGATTTTAAAAAATTATGAAATAATTCTATGAACAGTTGTATGCCATCAAATTGGTTAAGCTAGTAAAAGGGACAAATTCCTAGAAACACACAGCCCACCAAGATTGAATCATAAAGAAAAAGAAAATCTGAGTAGACCTTAACCTAATGAGGAGATTGAATCCATAATCAAAAACCTCCTAACAAAGAAAAGCCCAGGACCACATGGCTTCACTGGTAAATTCTGCCAAACATTTAAAGAAGAATTAAGAGCTAAGCACAATGGCTTACACTTAAAAGAAGAATTAAAAGCCGAGCACAGTGGCTCACACTGTAATAATGTCAACTACTCGTAGGCTGAAGCAGGAGGATGGCTGGAGGCCAGGAGTTCAAGATAGCCTGGGCAACATAGCAAGACCCAATCTCTAAAAAAAATTTTTTTTTTTTAATAGCCAAGGGCCAGGCTCCAGAGGAACAGGTCACACCTGTAATCCCAACACTTTGGGAGGCCAAGGTGGGAGGATCACTTGAAGCCAGAAGTTCAAACCAGCCTGGGCAACATGGCGAGACCTGTCTGCACAAAATTTAAAAATTAGCCAGGTACAGTGGAAAACACCTGTAGTCCTAGCTACTCTGGAGGATGAGGCAGGAGGATTGCCTGAGCCCAGGAGTGAGAAGTGAGGAGGTGTGATCATGCCACTACTTTCCAGGGGAGATCTTGTCTCTAAAAAAAAAATCATTCAGGCATTGTGCCATGAGCCTATATTCCCAGCTACTTGGGAGGCCGATGTGGGAGATTGCTTGAGCCTAGGAGTTTGAGGCTGCATAAAGCTATAATCATGCCATTTCACTCCAGCCTGGGCAACAGCCAGACCCATCTGAAAAAAAAAAAAAGGGAAGACGAAGAAAAATTTACACCAAACCTTTCAGACTCTTCCCCCAAAAACTGAACAGTATGTAACACTTTTATAATTGAACAGTATATAATACAATCTATGATGCTAGCATACCCTGATACCACAGTCAGACAATGACACTACTAGAAAAGAAAACTATATGCTAATATCCCTTATGAACATTTGTTAATGGTTTGAATGTTTGTCTCCTCCAAAACTTATGTTGAAATTTAATTTCCATTTTAACAGTCTTAAGAACAGTGGGACCTTTAAGAGGTGATTAAGGGAGGAAAGCTCCACTTTCATGGGTGGAATTAATGTTGTTACAGAAGGGTGAGTTTGGCTCCCTCTTGCCCTCTCTCTTTGCCCTTTGCCATGTGATGCCTGCCACCATGTGATGACACAGCAAGAAGACACTCACCAGATGCCAGTGTCTTAGTCTTGGAATTCCAGACTAAAGAACTGTGAAGAAATAAATTTCTTTTCTTTTTCATTTACCTGGCCTCCATTCTTCTGTTATAGCAGCACAAAACAGCCTAAGGCAATACCGATGCAAAAATCCTCAATGAAATACTACCAAATCAAATTCAACAGCATATTGAAAGAATTATACAACA